CCCCACATTCCAGAGGGTCTTGCTACCAAGCGATCTACCAACCTTTGTCGTCGCTCCGCCAGGAATAACCCACATCACTTTTACCGCGGAGACTGTATTGCGAAAGCTGAAGTCTCTACGCAAACACAGCTCACCGGGTGTCCACACCATTCGTCCAGACGCATGGGGAGCAGCAGCAAGTCAACTTCCAGGAACTTTAGCTCAGTTTTTCCAGCGCTGCGTAGACCAGAACCAAGTTCCCGCCATGTAGAAGCTTGGAATAATAATCCCGATTCACAAAGGTGGAAGCAGAACTGATCCCTCCAACTACCGCCCAGTATCCCTACTTTCTATACTCTCCAAGGTCATGGAATCCATAGTTGCCGATGCACTGGTGTGTTATCTGGAAAACTGTAACATCATCACGCCTGAGCAGCACGGCTTCCGTCGACAGCGGTCATGCACAACGAATTTACTAATCGCACGCAGTAGTTGGACCGAGTCAGCTGACGCTGGAGAAGGTGTTGATGTGATCTACCTGGATTTTTCGAAGGCTTTCGATCGTCTAGACCATCGGATACTACTCTCCAAGCTCCAGCATTACGGGATCGGCGACCCTCTTTTAAGCTGGATTGTCAACTTTCTACTTCAATGGCAATTAGTGGTCAGAGTTCGGAGCTCTTTATCGGACCCCATACAAGTCGAGTGTGGTGTGCCGCAAGGCTCAGTTCTAGGTCCACGTTTGTTTTTGGTGTTTATTAATGACCTTGCACAGGGAATCGCTTCAAACTTCCTAATGTTTGCCGACGATATCAAGATTTGGCGCAGGATCCAGGCGAACGCCGACCAGCATGTGCTTCAGAGTGACCTAGATACGGTATATCAATGGTCAACCCAAAACTTACTGCATTTCAACGTCAGTAAATGCAAGGCACTTTCCATCCGACATCAGAGCAGCTATTCATACCGGCTCGGAACGAATATACTGCAATTATCAACTCTGCAACTTGACTTGGGAGTCCTGGTTTAAGATAACTTGGGTTGCTCCAGGCAATCCGAAAAGGCCTCGAAGACTGGGAACCAACACGTCGGGCTGTTGCGACGGGCGTTTGGACAAATAAACAGTTCCATATTTCGACAAATTCTCAGTGCGTATGTTCGCCCTCACGTCGAATACGCAATTCAAACTTGGCATCTATGGCTGAAACACGACCTTAATGCACTGGAGCAGCCACAACGTCGGGCATCTAAGAACGTAGTTGGAATGCACAATCTTTCATGACAGAAGAGGCTGCAACGATTGTGGGTATTCAGTGGAAGCTATCGCAGACTACGAGGCGACCTGATTATGGCATACTTGATTCTGCGAGACCCACATCATGTGTGCCGCCCTTTACTGCGACTCAGCACCAATACAAACCTGAGGGGCCACTCATTGAAACTCGCTGTACAGTATAGCCGCCTGGAGTGCCGCAGAAATTTCTTTTCCATTCGTGTCTGTCACCCGTGGAATGCTCTCCCAGAATCGGTCGTCTCTGCACCGACACTAACAGTATTTAAAAGACGGTTGGATGACGCACTCATCCACTTACATTTTGTCACTTAGCCCCACTCCATCCTACACCTGGAATTTACCATGCGGATTGCAGAACTACAGCGGAGCAAACGATAAGTTCTAATTTTCATATTTAAAGTGCTAACTTTCTACTATTAGTATTAGTTCGATAGCCCCACCAACTATCCAATGGGGCTTGTAAAGCAACACTTCTTAACCTGTATAAATGCATTGTTCACTGTTCGGTTTAGCTCACGTCTAGTGAGTACACCGCGTGAGCAGTGTGTGTCAGACCCGCGTCTTGGTGCAGGAAGAGCGAGTGAACCGCTCAGCACTGTTACATCACGTAACAGGCTCCCATGGCTGGGCTACGTGTTGCATATACCAGCACATTGACTAAAGCGACGTACATTGTTTGTGCGCTGGGGCAGTGGATGGAAGAAGAGGAGGGGAGGCGAAGCGATGAGTTGGTCAAAAGGTGTGAAGATCTCCACTTCGGACTTGACGTCAGATGGGCCTGCCGACTGTCAAGCTGGAGTCCTAAGGATGATGAATGTGTTTGGTTACATATACCACATGGCAAGGAGCCGACCTCAATGGCGTTTGTGTTGTGCATCTCTTTGTATCTCCCCATCCGAGTACCTTCCTTCCCCAAGAACGATCTCACCGTCGAAGTATAATATGAGACTAAGCAGTATATCACTTGTTCGATGGGTTTTATTCTGTAGGCTATAATGTTTTGTACACCTCTTCATATATCTTATCGTTTTATATTTCAATGTAATAGCTGAGGTGTTTCTCACCTTTAACTAACGTGCAATGATGATGACGGAGAAATATCAATGATTAGACGCGGCCTCGTACATATGGACGTTCAGGTACCCTTTACCACCTACAAATCCTTCGACTCCTCGCTGTAATCGGACGCCCAGCCCCCCCCCCCACTTGCTTTCCATTACTCAGAATGAAGTAGCTCTCTTCTAGCTATTCGCAACGACTTAATCACGCTGCGTGATGCAGCGCCTTAGCATCGCATGTACTGATGCCCTCGTACCATTTACATACTATAAGGACTTTGGTTTCACGTTGTGAATGAGCATCCAGCTCCAGCTGCTGCTTTCCACCACTCTAACTGCATTAGATATCTTCTCCTAGCAAGGTAAAATGACTGAATCACCCTGCGCAACGCAGCGCCTTAGCCTCGTATGTATTGCAGCTCACGTAGCTACTTACGTGCTCTAACCGCTTTGACTTTTCCTCGTAGACGGGCGTCCAGCCCCACCACATACTCTCATTACTTAGCCTGTAATTTTGCGCTTCTCCAAGCAAGCTAGGATGACTTGAACACACTGCGCAACGCAGCGCCTTACCTTCGTATGTGTTCTTGCTCAGACATCCACACACTTGCTTTAGCTCCTTTGAATCTTCGCTTTAAACTGGCATCTACTCGCCACCAGCTGCTTTCCAGCACTCAACTTGCACCAACTTCCGTCTCCAAGCAACACAGGACGATCGGTTCGCCCTGCGCGACGTAGCGCTTTGGCCTCGTATCCACCGGTGTTCACATAGATTTAACATCATTAAATGCCTATTCAATTTGTTGTACACGGGCATCCAGCGTCCCCGCTTGCTTACATTACGCAGCCTGTAATCGCTCGCTTTTCTTAGTATGCTACGATAGTTGTATCAAAATGCGCAGCGCAGCGGCTTGGTTGGTGGTATCCAGTTTCGGATTTGCCTGTCACTGTGGCCAGCCACAGGACGCCTGTGCCCACAGAGGGACACCGTGGGTGGCTTGAGTTGCGTTACCCACAGCTCCATTCACACACACTATGGCCAGTGTAAGGCAGAAGGAATAAGACCGGGGAGGCATGTGGATGGGAGCCACGTTTCATATACAGGGCCGGCCCACACTCCATCAAAATGCATAGCAGCAGCAGCAGCAGCAGCAGCATTCCTGTCTATCTATCCAGGAAATCATGCGTACCAGACGTACACAAGACGGGGGCTGAGCCGTAGTCCGCTCCACACTGGATGGAACCACTCTTTGAGTCTAGCATGGCCATAAAGACCGTGTAGCCCGTCCCCCCAGCAATGATTCAGTCTTCTGGAGCCAGTAATTGAGGTGGACGGCGTTAGACAGGTAAGCACCTTGCCAACATTCACATCGAGCGCAGTCACACCGGGGATATCAAACAACTAACATAGAATATAAGGGAACGTAAACGCGCAAAATTGACACAGAATGTGACAGAGTAACAGAATTGAACAAACCAAGTAAAGAGGAATGAGTTTATCCAGATTAAAAAGGTATGGATTAAGTGTAAGTTGGTTTAGCTCAACTGTGGCGAAGAAGCATCATGAATGTATCACCTTACCCTCGTATATACTGACGCCCATGTACCCATTACCAACTACAACGCCTTCGAGTTCCCGCTGTAATCAGACGTACAGCCTCACCTCGTGCCTTCCATTACTCAGTCCGAAGTAGCTCCCTTTTCTCTGGTTCTGATGACTGAGGGTCGCAGTGTCTTAGTCACGTATGTATTTGTTTCACTTACGCTTTGCTTCATGAAATGCCCTTTTCACTTTTCTGTAAACAGGTTTTCAGCCCCACTTCGCATCTCTTCCCGTGTTCCCGTTCCTTATCCTTTTGTAAGAACTAGTATATATAACATATGGCAACAAATTTACACATTGCACAGCGCATCAACAATTAATGCTATGTTGCATGTCATTCGCTTTTTCATTTGCGTTTTCGTTGCATTTCTGTCTGTTGTCCGTCGCCCGTCTTTCCGAGTTGCTTTCAGAGACATGTTGGCTGGCACCTGAAGAACCTTGCAATAACTGTGGATGTTCCAACGATCCCGATCCCAGTCCCATGAGACTCACAGTTCCCTCAACTAGATACGGATTGGAATTCAACGTGGCCCCAGATCCGACTCCATAGTATATGATGAACAAACCGAAAATGGACGATAGGTGACCGCGAATAACTGCGCAAGCAATCGGTTCGAAGGCAAACCAATTTAAGTGACTGAAACCTAATTTCCGCTACCGAAACAACATTTACTTGCGATAAAAATCTATATCAGCATTAATGCCTATCAACACCTTCGTATTCACAAAACAATTTGCTATTTCAACACGGAAACAACTTGTGATGTCGTATAGTTATCATAAACACATCTCACATCTTGAACTCGTCAATCTACTCACTTACTTTATCAATACTAATCTTTGATCAAGTTGCAATCGTCGTATATCTGCTCGTACATAACTGATCACGCCTCCTTTTGCGTGCCACATGCAACAGCGAGTAGATACATTAGTATTTTATCATATTTTTAACGATACCACAGCTTGTAAATGAAAGAAGTACGGGGACTCAACTAGAAATGGAAAAGTCACTTTCGTTATGCTATTCGGCGATCTTTAATACCAATGAGTACTTGAAATAACTCACTCTCTTCTCCTTTGGCACCATAATGACTTTTTCGGATTCCTCAGAGACCAGAAGACAGGTGGCGTAGGAGGACGTCAGCATGTTCACAAACAATTCGTTTGCCAACACATCAAGCTTCTTCACCTCCTCGCCTTGCACGTTAGATGCGCCTGTGAGTCCGTAGCTGAAGTGTGTGATGATGATGCGTCACAACAAAGACAAAAACGCATCGTGAAATCAAATCGTATGAGGTTATGAGGATTTGCGGTTACAAAAGGCGATTTCTTGGCAATTTGTAGACTGAAGCGTTAGCATAACTCGCGACTAAGAACCAGGAATAGAGGAATCCATGAACAGTAGGCAAAATGATAGAGAGCTGAATGCACTAATGAAAATCAAAGCACCATCTATGCCCAAATCAACTGGAACGAATAGGGTAACACAAATAACAACCTTGATGAGAAAGTTAATGTCAGACGGCTCACAAGGTTGGATGGGAACAAAGTGCGTGGCCGAATTTACGGTGTAGAATGTATATTATTCGTGGTTCCTAAACGGTATACTGTGGCATTCAAAACATGCCTAAGGAAAAACAAATTGAGTAGTTGTGAACTAAGGAGCTGGATTCGGACCTGACAACCAAGAGACGTTGAAAATCTGGCATGGCTGTAGGGATGAGTCTAGTAGGCTGCAAGGCCACCGACCAGATTCTCATTAGGGTAAATGGCTTGTTGATTCAAACGTTTGTAACTTGCATGCGAGTGGAGGATGAGTTGTGCTATATCGTAGTTAGCTTGTAAGTCTTCCGCTGTCCCCAAGGCTCAGTGTCATAAGCTACTGGCTGGCGGTGCAAGCCGCTAGTGGTCCTGGGTTCGCTCCTCATGGAGCCGATCGATGCGCACCAACAACGTGACCCAACAGGTCGAAACCTCGGTCTAGCGCGTTTTCGGGCATGCGGAAAACTATCCGATTTAAAAGCTGCTGCGAAGAACTCCCCTCAATAGTTTATTTATCCTGTTATATTATCATCACCTATGCCCACTTTATGAAGTCCCGAGATCCATGGGTTTAGCGCAATCACCATTGTTCAGCCACATCGATTCCTCGGTCAGATTCATTGTGATAAACAAACAGTACATAAAAGAGCTTACTCCCACGAACAAAGAGCTCGTGAGCAACATCAGATTGACAAGGGGTCCATTGAAGTTCAGCTAACGTGTCATCATAATCCTTCAACTAATTGTGTCTACGAGGATGTCCCGCGAGACACACGGGACTGACACGAAGAAGCACGTATAGAGACATCCGGCTGCCTTTGTTGAGGCAGCCACTGGGACTTAGGGAATAAACGCACTTCGGATAGTGCCTAGATGATATTCGACTGAAGGTGGAACAATGTGACAACAGGAGAGTCCGAGGTATAGAGTTATTGTCTCGAAAAGTTTTCCGTGTTTATAATAATAATAATAATTTACCGACGGGTTTTTACGGAACACGCCTAAAGGCGCATGACCAAGGACTTACATGCGCTTGTAGCAAGTGAAATAAGTACAGAGATTCAACTAGAAATGGAAAAGACAGTCAGGGAACTTTAATACCAATGAGTAGCAGGCCAATGCAGTTTGGTCGAAAAGGTTTGCAACAGATATAGTCATAATCATAAATGTGTTAGCTGTATGCCGTAACAGCGCTTCGCTGCCGCACGACCACCATCAGTCGCGCGCAAGCTGTGTATACCGCGAGGATGTACACCACTATGCGGGTTCGAAGCGGTGACATTATGGCTGCAAGCCAGACATACAGACCACTCGGCCACCGACCGACAAATATAGTACCCGGAAATGCATAGCAAACTGGGTACAGATGATAATCGCAAAGGCATAAGTTGGTCTTAGGGCCAGGTGAAAAAAGCCTGCACAGTGTAACCGCCGTGACACGTTTAACTGCAGAAAGAATATGGGCCACCAATATTGCTCGGCAAGAAAATATTCCATAACCAAGAACGTATTCTGCACGAATATCTGGATACTTTGTAAATCGAAGCGGTTTCGTTTTAGTCTAGCATCTTCCCAATCAAGTAATCATCCTCCAGATTGGATTCACCTCAATGGCAATATCACTAGATTATACAGGAAGATGTAACATCATAGTATGTCACCAGCGTGCTAACTGTGCCAGTAGTTGCTCCGAAACTAGAAGTGAATTAGGGTACGTGTGAACCGGAATAGACTTAATTTATCTGAATTTTTGTAACCTTCACAATCCTAGTTTGTTCAACACAACTTTACAAAGTGTAAAGCTGCGACCTCGGTGCAAGTCGCCGGTGTCCATGGGTTCCAATCCTGATAGAGTTAGAGGATGCACAGCACTGATGAGTCCTGGTAGGAAGAGACGGCCGTCCAGTGCTTTTCCGGATATACGTGCTAGACTGAACCACTTGGAGGCTGCTGCGAAAATACATCACTTGATTCTAAGTGTGTGAAACTGCTCCCTTGATTCGGCCTCCTCTGTGATACCCGTTACAGCAAAATTTACGAATGCAGACCTCATAGGGCTAAGCCATTATGGTTGAGATCTCGCGTATCACTTGCCAAAATGGTTACCAGGGGGAAGAGTAGAAAAGCAGTGAACCGATGGAGGCAGAAAACGAACCACCACAATTGGGTGAGATGATCATTTTTCGGTTCACATGGCATAGAGACGGCAAAACTGGATGCTACACAATGATGAATAGTAATGGCACTTGGCTAGCGACGCAAATGATGACGGGTGAAATTTGTTCGGTGAGCAAGAAAATAGGCAAGAGTCCAATGCGAGATAATACACCAGCCAAGAACGCATCATGAACCTATGATGCAGATGCCTCGAAAGTGGTTCCTATGAGAATCAGAAGGCAAGGTATGTCCGCAAGCTAAGAGATACATCAAATAAACATATCATATCAGGTAAGTAGGTGAACGAATTTGTCCACGGTCACATAAACAGATAAGAGAGATCAAAGCAATGCATAACATACGCGTGGTTGGTATAAGGATAAACTACCACGACAGTAGCACTGCTAAACCACTGTGGTTGTACAACAACCAACAAAACACATTAGAGACATTGGCTAGAGGTGGGGACACCTTAGCCATTGTGCCGCAATACATAAGAAAAAAAGGAATAAAGTGACGCAGCGCGGGCGCACCAGCTGAGCCACCAGTAACCGATGGACATCATTCCGGAGAGCCAGCAGCCGGATATTGTGCCGCAAACAGAATAATAGTACGAATCAGGAATGAGATCGTGCTTAGAAGAGGAGGGACTAAGAAACTCACGACAAATGCAACTGAGATCGGCTCCTAGCCACATCAACGAATGTATCCAGTCAAACGTCCGTCGGACCCCAAACAAGGAGCCGAGAGGCTCCAAACGAAGCCAACTTCAAAGTGATGGCCTTTATTCCTCTTGACCATGTCGCCGTTTGGTTTTCCTTCCTTCTCTTCTATCCACAGCCCCAGCGTGCAAAGAACGCACGTCGCGGGAGTCGATGTGGTGGCATACGCAACACGTTGCTTAGCCATCGGAGCTTGGTGCGTGTTCACTCGCTGTTCCTGCACCGAATACGCAGCGCCGAACGCGTTCATTGATCATGCGGTGCTCCCATCAGACATGAGCTAAGTTGCGAAGGCACCGATGATTGAACGTAACTAGCCTCTTTATGTCTATCGACTTGATGGGCCGGGTTTCACAACCGTAGGGAAGAGGTGTACGGACGGCTGCATTGCAAACTCTGCCTTCCAGGGCGAGAGTGATATCGCGCTGGCACCAAGTGGCGGAGATCGGCAAAAGCGCCTCGAGCTTATCCTCATCTTCGATCCCATGGGCGCTAATATAGTTGCCGAGATACTTGGATTTCTAGATAACTTCTAGATGAACACCGACAAGGGTCAGCGCATGCCAATCTTGGGTAATTACTTTGCATTTCGAAAGTGCAAAATATAGCCCGAAACGCCTGAGCCAGAGCTACTTTGTTAATTGCAAGTTGACACGTTCGGGACTGTCAGAGATGAGCGCAATGTCGTCCGTATACTCCAAGTCAAGAAGTTGGTCACCTGTGAGCGGCTCCACACCTTGTAGGTCATGAGCAGTGAACGCCGTTTCCATGAGTTCGTCAATGGTGAAGTAAAAGAGGAAAGGTGACAGTGGGCAACCTTGTCTCACACCGCTGGAGATATTAAAGAGTGACGACAGTTTGCCATAAACCCTCACTGCCCGAACTATGCGCGTAAAGCGCCCTGGTTATGTATACGTATTTATCGGGTAGACCTTTCCTGAGCGGATATTCCCAAAGAGCACATCGATTCACCGAAAGGAAGGCAGCTTTGATGGCCAAGAACACGAATATGGTCAGTAGTCAATAAATAATGACAGTGTTCCAACAACTGACGTAAAGTGAAGGTGTGATCAATACAAGCGCGAGTTCGATGAAAGCCGGCTCACCGTTTGCGCATCTGGCTATTACGGGTGCCAGTCAGTCCATGGAGGTCGAGAGAGGCAAGTAACTTAGAGGCAATTGAGAATAGAGTTATCTCTCTATGATTGCCACATTACGAACATGAGCCGTTTTTGAACATTGGTAATATAACGGAGCGGCTCTGGTCTGTTGGGACAGTCTGCTTCCACAAATTCGCTGGTAAGTTATGCTTAACATCCATAAGAGCAGGGCAATATCAGTATGAAAATGCTACTTTAGTTCAAAGAACATACAGTTGCCTATCAGGGGTTTAAAGATAGAAAGTTGAGAAAAGAATGGTTCGGTTAGGGCGAATTGAATCAAGATCAAGTGCTGCGATAAATGCTAAAAACTAGAGCCTAGAGGAGTAACTTAAAGTTGAGCACTGAGCCCAAGTTTATCTGATGTTATTTTCCAGTTTAGGAAGTGACAAATGTAGGCAACAGCTCACAACCGCAGCAAAGGGGAGCGTATGGTTGATAACAGATGTGCAACGAGGCTTAAAAAGCCAAAAGTAGCGGAATGTTTGGTCCATCAACTTACAGGGATAAAAGACCGGCTCTCCGCACAGCACTAGACACGGCTTTGGTTGCTGTCTGTAAACCGTTCATCAGCTGGGTTAACTCCCCAGTGGCGCTCGGATATTTAGACTGTTCTTGAACGATGAATCTGGTCAACGTCATATAGTCGGTATCAAGTCCTTGGAAGGAAGACATTGTCACAGACTACAAGGTCTATAAGCTAAGTGCTGAAATAGTAAAGAAATAATGTGATAAATATGCATATTAGTAATCAGTTCAGTTCAGTTGAACAACTACGATCGGAGCACCAAAGTACGGTGGATCCAGTTGTCACGACTAAGATCGCAAGAATAACAATAAATAACAACGGTAAGATGGTGGGATGGGTCACCAGCGGACCTCATCATCATTATAGACGTTAGCTAGAGGTTGGAATCACCTCAGCTACTGTGCCGCAATACATAAAAGAAAAGAAAGGGAAAAAATGAAACAGATGCAAGCCAGCTGAGCTACCAGTAACGGGTGGGCATCGTTCCGGCAAGCTACCAGCCGGCTACTCTGCAGCAGAAAAATTTACAATGCAAAATTATATAAGGATAAATAGTGAGATCGTGGTTGGAGGGGAAGGCTAAGAGGGATGAGGTGGGACAAAGAAACTCACAGCACGAACGCCACTGAGGTCGGCTCCTAGCCATATTAGCAAGTGTATCCAGCCGAACGTGTTCAGTCTTTCGGACCCCAACCAGGGAATCGTGACGCTCCAACCGAGGCCAACTTCGAAGTGACGGCCTTCATTCCTCCCGACCAAGACATCGCTTGGCCAGCCCTCCTCTTCTTCCATCCATGCCCCCGGCGCGTAAACAACGCACGTCGCGGGAGTCGGTGTGCTGGCATGCGTAACACGTGGCCCAGCCATCAGAGTCTGGTGCGTGAAACAACGGCGCTGAGCGGTTCATTTCCTTTTCATGTGCCGTAAACAAAGCGTCGAACACGCTCGCTGCTCACTCGGTGTTCCCACCAGATGTGAGCCAAAATGCGAAAACACTGGTGGTCGAATGTAACTAGCCACTCTATGTCCACCAATCTAAAGGGCCAGGTTTCACAACCGTACAGTAGGGCCGAACGTACCGCTGCATTGTATACTCTATCCTCCAGGGCGAGAGTGATGTCGCGCCAGTGCCATATGTGACGAAAGTTAATAAAAGCGCCTCGAGCTTTTGCTATACGGTACGTGATCACATCTTCAATCCCACGGGCGCGGATACAACTTCCAAGGTAGTTGAATTCCTGAACGACTTCTAGTTGATCCCCAGCAAGGGTCAGCGAAGGAGGCCAATCTTGGAGGAACACATTGCACTTCGAAGGTGCGAAGCAAAGCCCGAAGTGACGGACAGCCAGTGTTATTCTGTCCAGTGCCACTTGGCACGTTTGTGAGCTGTCACAGATGAGGGCAATTTCGTCAGCATACTCCAAGTCAAGAGGTCGTTCTCCTGGGAGCAGATCCACACCTAAGTCGTGGTCGGTGAATGCGATTTACATGACTTCGTCAATAGTGAAGTTAAAGAGGTAAGGTGACAGTGGGCATCCTTGCCTTACACCGCTGGAAATATTGAAGGGTGACGATATCTGGCCGTAAGCCCTCACTTTGCCCGAGCTACGCGCGTATAATGCTCGGATAATATTTACATATTTCTCAGTTACACCTTTGCTGACTAGACAGTGCCAAAGGGCACACCGATCTATCGAATCGAACGCACCGTTGATATCGAGAAACACGACTACGGTGGGTCACCAACATATGTGACGGTGCTCCAACAACTGACGCAAGGTGAAGATGTGGTCAATGCAGCCACGACCTGGACGAAACAAAACTTGCTCTTCACGAATATGACTTTCACGAGGGCCAGTCAGTCTGGGAAGGAGGACAGAGGCAAGTAATTTGGAGGCGATTGAAACCAGAATGATTCCTCTATGGTTGCCGCATTCCGATCGTGAGCCTCCCTTGAAAATCGGGACTATGATGGAGTGGCCCCAGTCGGTTGGGACAGTTTCCTGCTCCCACAGTTTCACTACTAACTTGTGTAAATCATCAACAAGAGCAGGTCCCCCGAATTTAACTTCCACAGTGCGATCTCACGTTCGACTTCTGAGCGAGAAGGCGGATCCAAAAACACAGCCCAGGGAGCAGGGCGATCACCGACCGGTGAGAAACCTGACAACTCTGACCGATTAAATTGCCTTTTAAAGTGCTCATCCCAACGCTCCAAGCATTTTGACAAGTTGTGGATAAGCTGTCCACTCTCGTCATAAATTGTTTCTCTAACACCAGGTCTCCTGCTGTCCGTTTCCCGTATCAGACGGAATAACACGACAGTTACCAAGCGGTTACCAGCAAGTGGTTACCAGCGGACCTAACCAATCTCAAATCAGGATGCTGGAACAAAAACGTCCAGCAACTTATTGTAATTTGCATCCGATCGAGGATTCCGAAAGCTTCCACGTAGGTTATAATACAAAACAAATACCCCGTAAGCGGTTACATGAAGTTGTCACAGCCACCTAGGAAGAGACTATACTGGATGTAAGGTGCGCTTGGCTAATCCCTCGTGTCAAGCTGGATGCCGTTGTCTCAGCTTCGGTGGGGATCGTGCCTGAGCTGTATGGTTGGTGAAAACAAACACGGGTAATGGCTGTAAATGAAACGGGAAGAGGAAGAGAAGAGGAAACAACGATGACGATTTCATCTACTGGCTTTCTACAGGTACACGCTAGGACTTGCTTGTAGTGCACAATAAGTCAAATCTTATCTTACGTACAATATTAATAAACAATTGTGCAATATTTGTCCTTGTTGTATTGCACCCCAGCTTCCGCACGTTTCCCAACACACTAGTTTGCTCAGTGAGTTACTTCGCTGACGCTCGCTCCGGTTCCCTTCATTAGTCTAAGTATCCTTGTAGCCTCTAACGAATACATTCTTATATGTACGATCTTCCAGCCTTCTGATATCCGCGTTCGATTGCGTGCTCCGTCTTGGACTAGTTTTAACTAGTCCTATAAACCGGCTAAATGTGAATTGGAGCATATGATCAACCTCGCCATCATTCGCCCATCCAACAGCTGTTGGGCTTCTCCGCTTCATCCTGTACCCAAAAAGTCCGGTGATTGGCGTCCATGCGGTGATTACCGGGCACTCAACGCCGTTACCATCCCCGACAGATACCCTATCCCTCATATTCATGATTTTTCATTGGGATTATCAGGGAAATCCGTCTTTTTCAAGACTGGCCTTGTGCGAGAGTGCCCCCAGATTCCAATGGCACCTGAAGACATTGCTTAAACGGCCGTCATCACACACTTCCGTTTGTAGTAGTTCATTCGTAGACAATGGGTTAGTGAAACGCCAGTTGTAGAGAGCTCTAAATCCACGTCGGCGACGCACAACGGAGTGGATTGGGACGGTGGAGATCCCCTATAAAAAGGGAACCTCAGAAGCAATCAGACGAGTACTAAACAGGGAGAAAATAAGTGGTTTTTCGAAAGGGTCAAACGCTCTATTCAGCACTTGTGCCTTTGAAGGATCCACTTCCAAGAGACAGGACGACAAATTGTGTTTGCAAAATCAATTGCAAAGACTGTGTACACGTGTATATAGGTCAAACAGAAGAGAGCTACGCACGAGGATAGCAGAACACAAGAGGTACGTTTCGCGTCCACCGAGAAATGAGCCTGAATACAGAGTCCTACTAAAAGATTCAGCGGTGGCCGTACATGCGCTAGAGGCAGGATACGCGATTGATTGGGGACAATGTCGAGATACTTAGGAGGGGATTACCAGCAACAAGCCAAAGGTTGATTGCTGAGGCGGTCGAGATTACTAAGACTAATAACTGTGTGAACAGAACAGACGGGGTGGAGTTATAGAACGCGTGGCGGGCTGTGTTAACCCGGACAGTCAGAAAAGGTGTCGGCGGACGAACTCAGATCGGAGCGTAAATCAGCAGCTGTAAGAAAGGAATGCCTCACATGTGAACGACCGGTGACGTGGATCAATGAGAAACGCTCGATGCTTGTTGTTTCACTAGCATGGCCACTTGACCTATTGACCTGTAATACTATTATCCAATGGTTCATGTTATTTCTTGCAACCTTCATCTTACGTTCCCATAAAAAGTTAAGCCAATTTTGTACCGATTCACCTGGCCTGAAAAACCTCTTGTGTCAAGGGCAAAACAAAACCATAATAAAACCTTACCAAAACCGATTTGTATTCAAAACCATCTGAAATCATTCATTCGTACGCCTTTTGGTCCATGCAATGCTTCATGGACCAGGTCCTCCGTGGTCTGGACTGTGTTTTTGTCTACATCAACGATGTCCTAATAGCCAGTGCCACGCCAGAAGAGCACTTGAACTACCTTCGACAAGTATTCGAACGCTTCGATCATCACGGGATAAGCATTAATCCTGATAAATGTCAATTTGGTCAATCTAGCGTCGATTTTCTTGGTCCCAGAATTGATGGCAAAGGCATTAGTCCCATCCCTGAGAAAACCCAGGCAATCATGGACTATCCACTGCCTCAGTCCGTTAAAAATCTGCGCCGATTCCTTGGCATGGTTAATTAGTACGGAAGATTCATTGACAATTGTGCCGCCGTTCTTCAGCCTTTGACTGTTTTACTTAAAGGTAATCCAAAGAAGTTCACCATTACGCCAGAAGCCGAAACAGCGTTTGTTGCCATCAAGCAGAAGTTGAGCCAGGTAAGTTCCCTAAGCTACTTGGACACCGACGAGAAAGCCACTCGTTCTCAAGACTGATACCTCACAATCCGCTGTCGTTGATGTACTACAACAAGTAATCGGTAATGAGATTCAGCCGCTGCCTTTCTTTTCTCGGAAGCTGCAGTCAGCACAAACAAGATATAGCAGTTTCGGTCGAGAGCTTCTCGCAACCTATTTGGCCGTCAAACACTTTCGTCACGTCTCTGAAGGACGAGTTTTGTAATCCTGACGGATCACAAGCCTTTGGTCTACGCTTTTCGTGCCTTTTTCCAACAGCTATTCACTGAGATACGACTCCTGGTTTACCTCTCACAATTCTGTGTCGATATTCGCTACCTAGACGGTCCAAATAATGTTGTCGCTGATGCACTTTCACGTGCACACATACATCAACTTTCGTCCTCCCCAATAGACTTTAAGGAAATAGCCGTTGCCCAGAACAA